ACAAAGAGTAGTTCAGTTGATAAGAATGCTTGCCCAGCATGCACGATGCCTCAGCACCACACAAAATCATGCATGGAGACAGGAGGGAGAGGCAGGAGGATCAGAAGTTTAAGATCGTCTTCAGCTACATAGCAAATTGAAACCCAGCCTGTGATACCTGAGACCCAGTGTCGAAAGGCTGAGAGAGAGAGACAGAAAGAGAATATATCATCAAATGTAGCTAGATATAGCAAATCACACAAAAGCAAAGTATTCTTTCCTTTTTTATCAAAAAAAAAAAGTATATTATACAGTAATATGGTGAAGGCCAGGAGACTGAGTTTGATCTGCTGAGCCCACATAAAAGAAGATTAGAATAGATTCCATCCACAAACTTATCCTCTGCCCACAGCATGGCTGATATGCATGCCCAGGCACCTCATACAAGCATGACATACCCATGAGTGTACACACACACAGAAACAAATATATAAATGTAATAAAAAATTTAGGACAGCTTGAAGAAGTTGGGTCTCTCCTTCTACCATGTGGGTCCTACCACCAAGCCAGACAACTAGGCTTCTTTCCCCGATAAGCCATCACGATGGCTCAACAAAGCTTTAGGGTCAGATATTATTTTAGGCTCTGTGGGCCTTACTGAAACTACTTAACTGCCATAATAGAACAAAAGCAGCCATAATGAAAACATAAGTAAATATGGCTGTTCTAATAAAACTTTATGTACAAAAACAGGTAACAGGGATAAGTAAGGACAGCGAAAAGCTGAATATGGTCAACGTATGTTATATGCATGTATGAAACACATAATAAGACAATTATTCTATATCACCAAAATAGCCTAAAAATATTAAAACAAAACAAAACAAAACAAAAAAACAGGGAGTAGCCAGTTAGGCTTATGGGCAGTTTGTTTACTGAATCTGTGATAATTTGCCTTCTGATTTTTTTAATTTTGTTTGTCATTTGAGAAATAGTGTCACTCTGTAGTTTAGACTAGCCTTGAAACCACTAGCCTTGAAATCCTCCTATCTCAGCCTCTTAAATACTGGGACTATAAGAGTGAGCCAACATACTCAGCTCCCCCTTTCATTTTTTTAAGTACTTGTTTTTATTATTTTGTAATTTTGAGTGTGTGAGCACACATGAGTATAGGTCCTTGGACCTAGCTGTGGGACACCTGACACAGACAGATGCTGGGACCCAAGCAAATGCTTTTAACCGCTGAGCCATCTCTCTGGTCTTTCTTTTGCATTCTTGGTATTTTGTGGCAGTGATCATTTGAGTTTATTAAGTTTATTGATTTTTCAAACCACATTTTATTTTTATTGATTTTTTTTTTTGCCTACTGTCTTGTTTGCTTGTTTTTGTTTCATTAATTGCTCTTAATGTATTATTCTTTTTCAATGTTTTATAGAGGCATCAATCATTGGTTTTCTATGATAAAAACTGAGCCTGCCAGATTTGATAATGAACATTTGTCATTCCACCATTTGGGAGGCTAAGGCAGGGATCACTGTGAGCTCCATGCCACCCTGGGCTACAGAGTAAGATCCTGCCTTTAGAAAGCAAATAAATAAACAAACAAATAAAGTTTAGCATTATTTACATAAGATACCTACATAAACAAAAAAAAATAGTATTTTATCGTTATTAAATGGTACTTAATGTTGCTTTTCTCATTGCTGTGACCGAATACCTGAGAAAAAGCAACATGCAGAAAGAAAGCTTCCTTTGCCTCCAGTTCAGCAGAGTGCAGTCCACCATGGACAGGTTTGGTCTATGGTGCTGAGCAGAAGGCAAAGAGAAGGCAGAGCCTGTGCTCAGATAGCTTTTTCCTTTCTCTCTTTGTATGTAGTCTGCGACCCGAGCCCACAGATGATACCATCGACATGCAGAGTGGGCCCTCAGTTAAACCTCTGGAAATACCTTCACAGATACACTCTAATGTGTGCCTTATTAAATGTGCTAAGTGCTTATTAATCCAGTCAAGTTGACCACAGTAATAAGCCATCACATGGTGGTTCCATCAGGTGCTCAACCATTAGGAAAACAGTTTTTCCCCATCCATTCACTGAATGAGAATAATTCTTCTTCTTGAATTATAAAAAGGTAGTTAACCATCATTTTTTAAAAATATGCATTGGTATGAGGGTGTTAGATCCCCTGAAACTGGAGCTACAAACAGTCAAACAGTTGTGAGCTGCCACGTGGGTGCTGGGAATTAATCCCAAGTCCTCTGGAAGAACATCCAGTGCTCTTAACCTCTGAGCCATCTCTCCAGCCCTGGTAACTAACCATCTTAAATAGACACCAGCTCTCAACAGCAGTTACTAGAAACTTAACCTCTGAAGGCCAACTTAACCTCTCCAAGATTCAATTGCTGCTGCTCTTGGAAAACAGTCGGTGAGAGGTGGAGGCAGGGGCACTGGGGGAGTCAATATTGGATTCTAGAAGTAACGTGGATAAAAGGTGAGGTGAAAATAAATCCCAGTTTTAGCTCAGTTCCTCTTCCTGCCCACGCTTCCATAGGCTGGCTCTGCTCCCAGGGCTCAGGCAAAGCAATATTAAATGCTTACAAAAAAAAAAAAAAAAAAAAAGGACTTGCAGTTGGTAGAACCCAAGACTGAAAACCCTTTGAGAACGGCTGTAGCTCACTGCTGGTAGGAACATGTAAAAAGCTCAGCCAGAGTGAGAGTAATGCGCAGAGCTAATCACTGTATATAAAGATGGCAAAGCAAAGAAGGCAGAACTCCAATATGTGTTACCTGGATAATCCCCAAAACAAGCGGCAGTAGAACTAGCAATGCTTATTCTCATCACTCCTCAAAAAGCAGAATTCTAATAAATCTGGCACAAAATCTAGACCAGGTTCCATAATTCCAAGTAGCAAAGTGGAAAAGTCTGCAGAATAAATGAATTATTGCCAGGAGGAAACTCATAACTACTTTCAGTAAGCTGTGAACAACTCTGGAAATATTTAGAGACACTGTGGTTGCCTCTGGCATTCTTAAAACTCAGGCAGGTAACAAGCCTGATTTCAGGAGCAAACTTGGAAATTCCACTGGCTGGCAACCACACGGGGGAGTAGAGACAGAACACCCACCACCTCAAAAGCCTTGCTGAGAAAGCACCCGGGAATTGAACCAAATCCATCATACTGCATCCAAGGAGAAGGGCTGTGATGGTGGAAATAGAAGTAGGGACCAGTGTTGCTTCAGAAAAGAAAAAATCCAGATCAACTGATAAGTTCTTCCTTTGGATGGGTTTTTTGTTTTTTGTTTGTTTTGCAGAAAACAGCATAAAGAAGGCATTGGGTAGGTAAAATCTGCACATTTCAGTGAACGTTTTAATTTATCAAAGCTAAAATTATTTTTATAAAGTCTCAATTCTGTAGCAATGTATAGAATTCATCAAGTGTTTTCACCTGGAACTACTAATGAACCATTATCTAGCAGTAACGCAGAGCCTTAAATTTGGTGTTGAACCTGTGAACTGTGCTGTAAACATCTACAGTTTACATCTTCAGCAGTTACCATCAAAGGCAAGCTTGTCTCAGCCAAGGTGACTGCCACAAAAACAAAACAAAACAAAACAAAACACTAGGAAAAACAGGCACAACATTAGAACTGTTTAAAAATCACCTAAGGAGCACCCCCACCTTTCTTACACTGTCAGGATGTCTGTTGCCTGCACACCCACTGACAAACAACCACAAAAATGGCACCACATTCCTTCCCATACCAGTTTTCTTCTGCAAAGCACACTTGGAAGGCCAGGCAGCAGGGGGGGGGGGGGGGGGAGGTTAACAAAATACTTCCATGGAGTGCAGTTAGGCATTATGAAGTTTGGAAAAGGCCAGAGTAATATCATTGCCCCCTCTCCTCTTTCTCAAAAGGGCCAATACTTTTTTCCCCTCAACTGCACACATTGGAATGAAGGTAGCAGCTGCCTCACAAAGCAGTCCTTTGAAAAGAAAATAATTACTATGCATTGCCTTTGCTGTGTGCCTAGATGTTAACAAACTGTTAAGAGCACAGTTTGTTAAATGTTATGGTGTAGGTAACTTGCTGAAACAAGACTCATTAGCCTTTCATTCCTTTGCCTTGACTGCAGTGTCTCCATGTTCCCACGAGTCATTATGACAAACTCCCCAGGACACAGCTGCCCAACACATATTTCTCTGCTGCTGTTTACATTAAAATGGCAAAAAAAAAAAACCAAAAACAAAAACAAAAACAAAAAAAACGTGTTCAGAGTTGGAGAAATGGCTCAGTGGTTAAGCACCTGGCTCCTCCCAGATTCAATTCCCACCACCCACATGACAGCTCACACTGTCTGTAACACCTACATTTCTCTCCTGCATGATCTCTGTTTGTTCAACCCATGCAGTCTTCCTTCTGTAAGGGCTAGGGCTGAACCTTGAAGCTTTGGATTCATAGGCTGAGCAAGATGCTTGACACTTAGTAACCATTTATAGAATTTCCTTAGTTTTTAAAGTTCATCATGTTTAAATAAATTTGTTATTTTAACTAGTAAAATTGAGCAAAAGATGTCACCTCCAGTGTGGAATCACTTGAGTTTTAGTCATTTGAGTCAGATTTTAATGCTGATTAGTCTCCTTGGAAATCAGTTTTGAAGTTAGGTGTGGTAATGCTGCCTTCAATCTCAACACTCAGGAAGCTGAGGCAAGAGGACCTGAGCTGAAAGGACCTATCTCAGAAGAAAGAGAAGGTGAGAGAGAGAGGGGAAACTGAGGAAAGCCCTAAACCAGAATTGTGATGAGTTATGTGGAGCAAACCTGAAGAAATGTGGAATGGCTGAAGGGATCACTGAGTAATGGAGCAGCTAGGAAATAAGGCTTTCCTGTCAAAACCCTAAGCTGGAAAGTCCTTTAATCACACCACAATTCTTTCTTTATGAAAGGACCGACCACGTTTCACTTCCTTGAGCCATCTCTTTCAGAGCACTCCACTCCTCCTCAAGATGAGAGAGGTTTTCACCATGAAAACTTCTGAGCACAGTCAACAGGGGAGAGTAGCTCCGCAGCTCACTGCCGACACTTGGTTCGCTCCCTTGTCCTTTGCCTGACAAAGACAATTTTAAAACAAATCAAAGTTCTGGCCATCTACTGGAAAACATTAAAACCATCCTATCTCAGCTTTAATTCTGATGCCTTCAGCTTCTTTTTGCTACTTACTAATAAATGAAAGTTTGCATTAATTGGATATCATCATTAGGTTTCAAAAGGACCAGCTGTCAAGGTTTAGCCCAGAGGCATTTTTTAAAACCAAGTGTTAATCAAATCACTGGTATAGCTGAAAATAGCTCTCCTACCATAAAGTCACCTGCTCAGAAACAATCCAGTCATCAATGTAACTAGGGGGTTACATTGCTGCATGTGATGTACTTAGAACCCTGCTTTGCTTTTTCTCCCACCACCTTATGACTAAAGACTCTAGAGAATGCTGTCAGTGAGGAGAGCACGCCTCCAGCCACAGCGTGAAGGGAGCCCACACCTCTCCATGTAATACAGTCTTTGTTTTTCAAAAAGCACAGGTATCAAATGATAACAGATAAGCTTTGATTTGTATATAAAAGTGTAGGCTCTATAAAGGAAAGAAAATATAAAAAATCAAAAGCATCTAGATACGATGCCAGGATCAAGCAATCCCCAGTGAGGGCCCCTTGTTGTCGTTATTGTTAAGAAGCTGCAGTTGATTGCTGTCTCTGACTGCAGTTATTATGAGCTGATAAATTATTTGCATTCAACTACAATCACACCAGCCTCCTTCTGAAACCCACACAAAGAACCTTGAATCACAGCCCTGTTTTGTTTTGAAGAAGGTTTTTTCCCCCCACCGCTGGTTTGTTTTCTTGTTTCGAAAGAAAAGGTCATTTAAAAGGCTGCAGCAGAGACTTACAGATTAAATAAATTAGCAATAAGCATGAAAGAAAACAAGTAAAAAAAATATATATATATAGCTAGCTATAATGTGTTATTTCAGCAGATATGGCAAATAAAAAAAAAGTTTGTCAATTTATCCATTGAAAGCCTCTCTTTTTGTAGCATTATGTAAGTGTCACAAAAAAAAAAAAAAAAAAAAAAAACACATCTGCAGTAGGCTGAACTGGGACATATGAGGACTCGATACAACTGAGCTTCCAAAACTTAAATATCTCAAGCCACTTTTTGCTTATAGCAAATAAAACAGAGAGCTGCAGATGCTTTCTCATCTGTGTGTAAATGAAAGCGGAGCCGTGTGAGTAGTTAGTATTCTTAGAACTGCTGAGAGCCAGTTTATTTAAATTAAATCAAAGCCAATCTGTATCTGTACAAAAATAATGTTCTCAGGGCTCTGACTCTCTAGACGCTACAGAACTGCAGTATTCTCCCCCCATGCCTCCCTCCGACATAAAGAAGTGAATAGAGCCGGGCAGACGAAAACCACTTCAGAGGGATCCAGAAGAGGGAGGTTCAAAGGAATCAAAATAGCCCATGCCTCACCAGCCGCCTGCTATAGAGCAGGGTTTGGCTCCTCTCTGCCCTATTCTTTGTGCTCCTACAGCACATCTTGGAATTTATTATGCGTCTGTCTTTTCTATCTGTCCCTTGCCTCCATACTGTGAACTCTCATGGCAGGAATTGGGTTTTATTTTAGCCTGGCATAGTATCTGTTGACCTGAAAAGTATCTACAGTATGTAACAACACCTAATAATTCTCACTAATTATTTGAATTGCATATCTCAGAGAAGGTCTGGAGATGCCTACTGCGTAAGCATAAGGACCTGAGTTCATTCCTAGAACCCATTTTAAAAAAAGCCAAGGGCAGTAGCTGGGACCTGTAACCCCAGCTCTGGAGGAGGTGCTGGTGGGAAGTCAGGAAGATCCCTGAAGCCCTCTGGCCAGCCAGTCTCTCGTCTAATCAACTGATGCTTTGGTTCAGTCTCACAAAATATAGGTAAGGCTAGGCATGGTATATATGTCTTTAATCCCAGCACTCAGGAGACAGAGGTAGCAGATCTCTGTGAGTCTGCAGCCAGCCTGGTCTACATAGTGATTTTCAGGCCAGCCAGGGCTACATAGTAATGACCCTACCTAAAAACACATAAATAAATATGCAGAGAGAGATCAAAAAGACAACTGGTCTCAATCTCTGGCTTTACCTTCATAAGCACACATGCATATGTACCCATGTGCACAAAAATGCACAACCCACATTAATAAAACAAAATTAAAAATAATAAATATCTTAGAGAATTTGCTGAAAATGCAGCCGGTAGAGACACAGGGCTGCATTTCTGTGATAGAGTACTTGCCTAGTATGCTAGAGACCCTGAATTCGATCCCCGGTACTTTAAAAATTAGCATACTTCAAGCCTCCAACTATTGCAAAACACTTCTACAGAACCAAGGATTACAAATATTGGAAAAGCGTACGTTGATGCAGTGCTGACATATGTCCCCTTCTCTAGTACAGACCTACAGTTTTCAACTGGGTTTACTTTTATGACATCTATTTTGATACATTGTTCTTTATCCTATACCTTCACTTTCAAGTTTCATAATTTATGCATTCTGCTGACAAAAATAAAAATCTGGATAAACTGGTCAAGGCTCCTGACCACTAATTATCTAGTATAGACTCCAAGCACAGAGAAATTGCTGTCTGTATTCATGATATGGCATCATTTCTGTGTTCAGTCAAAAGAGATTAATTCCAAGATTAATTCTCGGCAGGACACCAAAATGTCTCATGTGTCTGTCTGCTCCTCTCCCTAAGACACATGAAAACCTCTTGCAGCCAGTGGTATACAGGGGCTTTCACCCTCTACCATTTCTTCCCCACTGATGGAGACAGCCATGCTGCCAAGTACTTCCCACAGAAGTACGGAAGGGTGGAGGCGAAACAGCTCAATCAAAACAGCCTGGGGAAGGAAAGGAGGGAACACTTGTCAGAGAAAGGCTCCAGAGGCAGACAAGAAAACTTTTGCTTCTGCCTTGGCCATCCTGGGTAAGTAACCCTGTTCTAGATCTGCTTTCCTGAGCTGAGAGGCCGGGCTTCCCATCCTTGAACCTCTCACAGAAGGAACATTAAAATCCCCCGTATTCAAAAAGTGCCTTGTGAGAAATGTCAGCGTGCAGCTTCTAAGCACAGCCTGGGGAGCACAGTGGAGGGCCAAGCAGTCAGAAGGCTATGGTAGAGGGAGTACGCAGGGAAGCATGGCTGCTGCAGTATAGACTCGATTGCGTGCTGCAGGCCAGATGCCGCAGACTGACCCAGCAGGGTACAGATTGCTTGATTTTCTGAAATGGAATATGGCTCTTGACTGCTTATCTACAAAGCAGCTTCATTTATTTTGATTAAGACTCATTCACACTGGCAGGATTATTTCCATAGCTTCCAGCTAACTCAGGTTGCTTTGGGTCAATAAACACTGAGTTATTGGGGGTGGAGGTGAGGCATTTTAAGGTAAACAGCAGTTCTCTTAAAACTGTAAAACCTGAATCAGAAATGAAGACTAAAAACATAAAACCAAATCAATGTAAACACCACTCCTCTTCACCAAGCCTGTGGACAGTCTCATCATTCCCTGTAGTACCTACAAGTGACAGAATTCAGGAGCATGCATGATCTCAAACTCAAAAGTGTTGTGGATTAGAACCAAAGCATAACATCAAACCAGTTGGAAGAACATTAAAAACCTAAAGTTTGCTGAGTGAGTTTTCAGAGAGGAACCAGGGCAAGATACTTTGGCACCATCGTTAGAGACAGGGGTTACAATGCTTCAAGTGAGCCTTGGCCATGGTGCCTCTACTTCTTGCTCCTTAGACAATGTCAGTGTTGTTTAACTCCCCATTCAAGGGTAATTCCTTCTCAGCTTATGGGTACTGTCTAGTTTCCCTTTGTGACTGACAGGGAAATTCAGATTGCTGGAGATCTTCACCTGAGTAACAAACTTGAAACCAAAGACAAGAACACCCAGATGCAGCTAAGACCTTCTAGTACTGATAGGCTGGATCTATCCAGTGCTCATGAATGTACCCATCTAAATGTTGAGCAAAGACTATAGTTATACTTGTTCTCTCTCTAGACAAATATTCTCGGGAGTTGGGGATTTAGCTCAGTGGTAGAGCACTTGTCTAGACAAATATTCTCACTGCTTACTGGGGATGTGGGTTATTTAAGAAGAGTAAGCTGAGTTGAAACAGAATTGGAGATGTATGCCTGCATAATTCTGACTTGTACAAACTGATTGAACGCAGGGACTCCTGCATGCTGGGCAAGTGCTCTACCACTGAGATGCATCTCTAGCCTGTTATGCTGTGCAGGCAATTCAACTGGCCTGCCCTTAGGGTCCTGCCAGCTTCCTATGTCAGTACCTGCATGCTATGACGCCACCTGGGCCAGGTACTTCATATATAACTAGTCTGCCACTCCCACTCTCTCTCTCTCTTGCTCTCCTCTCTTGCTCTCTCTGCTTCTGTTTCTCTGTTGGGGTACCCCCTTCCCCATCTCCCTCCCTCCCTCTCTCCTTCCCTTCCTTCCCTCTCTCTCTCTCACTCTGTCCTTGAGGCTCACTCAGGCCCTAACTCTCTTCTGCTTCCCTTCCCCCAAATAAATATCTCTCATATCAAATCTGTCATATGTGTAGCATGTTTGCTTTTTGACTCACCTCATGGTTCAGGATGGCCTAGAACTCCCTACCAACCCCAACTCCCTATTACCCTCTCAGCCTTCTGAGGAAATTACATATAAATGTTATCATCTCAGGCCCCTATCCACATAATTCTTAGCAAAATAACACTCTGTTGGTATACTGAGTATACCAGTATACCAGTAAGACTCAGATAAAACTAAAACTTGATGTATCAAATTGCTCGGTCTTAGGCCAGGCATACAACTTTAATCCCAGAACTAGGGGATGCAGAGGCTGGAGGATCTCTGTGAGTTAGAGGCCAGCCTGATCTACATAGCAAATTCCAACCAGGGCTACAAATGAGACCCTGTCTCAGTAGTAGTAGTAGTAATATAACAACAAAAATAATAATAATAACAGCCTACTTTCCTACATTCCTAGAAT